GTTACAGCATAATGCTTAGCAAAGTAGTATTAGATAAGTAATAGATGTATAATAACAACATTTAACTATAGCATGTAACTAATTACTAACACACTAATATAGCTAAAAATGTAAATAATAGCTAGCTCTAGCTTTTAACATGTTCTTACTTTTGCAATAGTCTTTTTTTATTACAGTTATGTTACAGCTATCTAACCTCTAAGTACCCTAAGGGCTTAGCACAGGGTATATAGGCTCCTTAGCCTCTGTACCTCTGCCTCTAACCCTAAGGTTTACTCTCTCTTGTTACGCCCCTATCCTGCATTCCCTCTCTATAACCTGTGTTTCCTGCTTAATACCTCTTACATCCTCCCCTTTGCACCTTGCGGTCTCTAGCGTTGTGTAATAAGGTAGACGCCCCGCCTACTAAGCTAATACTATGCGACTTTCCCTACTGTACTAAAAAGTATGTACAGGAATACTTAAGCTAAGTATTCTTGCATAGTATAATATATATATAGATAATGCTAGGGCTAGCACTAGCACTAGCAGTTGTCTCTAGTCTAGCCTAAACCTCTACTGTGTTTTAGCGTGTAATGCACGGCCTCGCGTAATGCACGGTTCTGCGCGAAGCTGTCAAAACTTCAACCACCTCTCTCTCAACCAATATAGGCAGTATTGAGGCCGCTTTGGAGTCGCTGAAATCGCTGAAACCTAGAGAATCACCAAATTATGCTGCAGTAGCTAGGCAGTATGGCGTTAATTAATCTACGCTCTCAAGGCGTCACCAACGCGTTACCCGCCTGCGTGCAGAGAAACTTGAAAATCAGCAACTACTTAGCCTAGTGCAGGAGAAAGAGCTAGTAGAGTACATTAATAGGCTTTACGCAAGAGGTCTATCCCCTTTAAGACAGATAATTTAAAATTTTGCAACAAAAATAGGTAGTAGGCAAGCTAGCAAGAGCTAGGTTAATTAATTTATTAAAAAGCACTCTATTAACCTATTATCTTAATAGACATCTAGCATAGACGCTGCGCGTAACAAAGCTAACTTAGCATTTAAGTACTTGCTATATTTTAAGCTTGTACGCAAAAAAATTAAGCAATATAGCATAGAACCACAGCATACCTATAATATAGATAAAAAGGGCTTCCTAATTAGGGTACTGTTAAAAATAAAGCAAATCTTCTCTAGACAGCAGTATAAGCAAGGTATTAAGCAGCAGCTTATACAGGATAGTAATCGCAAGTAGATCACAACAATAGCCTGCATCTGCGCTAACAGCAGCTCTCTTACGCCTGCGCTAATCTACTAAGCTGTTTCTAACTATATATAAGACTCTTAGCTACAGGATTTTAACCCCTCTAAGCATTAAGCTTTCTTTGCTTTATTACTTACAAGTTAGACAAATAATAAACTAGGCCTAGCATAGCTTAAACATGTGTTTAATTACAAGACTAAGGCAAAGGTGTAATAGGTGTAACAACTTTTATTCCTAGATAGCTATAGATTGCATGTTTTAATAGAGTTTATTAAGTACTGCGACAACAATAAGATCCTCCTAGCTGTATACCTGCTACATGCAACCTATACGCTGCAGCCTCTTAATGTCTGCATGTTTAAACCTCTCTTGTTAGCCTACTTAGCTAAGCTAGCTAGCTTTATAGATAGATGCTAGGGACTATTATTAATTAAAAAGAGGGACTTCTACAGCATGTTTAATAAGGCCTAGAAAACGTCCTTTAAGCATAAAACTATCTTTAGTGCTTTTAGAGCAACTAGTTTATTACTATTTAAGCTGTAAGTAGTCTTAGATTAATTTTACTATAGGCAGAAGAAGCAACTATCCTCTAGTAAGAGCACTAGCTTAGCGCTTAGTGCAAAGGATTAGAAGAGGGTTAAAGGCCTTTTAGACAAGGTTGTTAGTAATTTCTATAAAAGAGATGTATAAGAGCTTAAGAAGACTATCTAGTTATTCTTAGTGCATTGCATCCTCCTCTAGCGTGAGCTTAAGCAGGTTAAAGATGCGCTAATTAATAAGAAGAAGCGCCGCCAGCGTAGCAAGCCTCTCCTACTAGAAGCACCTCTAGAATATTATAGTGGTGCGACCTTCTAGTCCCTAAACAAGGTCTAAGAAGCACGTGATTATTAGGCATAAAAAGATGCTAAGAAGGAGGCTCTACAGCTTTAAAAACAAGAGAAGGCAAAGCGCAAGGAAGTAAAGAAAGCTAAAAAGGCGCGCGCAGTTAAAGAGAAGAGGCATAGAGTAGCAATAGCAAAGAAGGCTTACCTGCAGGAGCTTAAGACAAAAGCAGCTCAACAAGAGGAGGCAGAGCTCACCTAGCAGGTCAATTAACAGCTTAAAAATGACCTCCAGCAGGTGACAAAGGGCAAGCAGAAAGCTCCTACGCCTATTGCTAGTACGCTGGAGGATTTTGATAATGATGCAGCATTAAATAAAGAGAGGGAGCCAGCATTAGGCAGGACTTAACGTGGCAGGCAAATTAACCTCCCTATAAGGTATTGCACGTAAATTATTGCTAGGAATAGAATCTATAGCATTTAATTAGTATTACAACAAAAAATCTATATAATCTATAATTTGTGTGAGTCTCTAGAGCTTCAAAAGTAAAAGTCGCAGATTGCCAAAATCGTGCATTACGCGAGGCCGTGCATTACGCGCTAAAACATGGTATAAGCAAGAGAAGGCCACGTGGTTAACTGTGCTTACCTTGTTACACATTACGCCTGTTCCTTTCACCGCCTAATACTGCCACACTATGCCTAATACTGCTACCTAATATCTTTAATTTAATTGTTTTAGCATTAAAGCCCTAGTTGTAGAGCCTTAGCTTGTGTATTTTATTGCCTCTGTAGGAATTTCTTAGAGTGCTAGGGAGCTCTAGCGCTGCCTCTGCCTCTACCTCTGCCTCTCTATTGCTGCAAAGATTAATGTAGTATATGTAATACCTTAACAAGCTGTTTTGCTTACATAACTACTAGTTTATACTGTTTAAATATAATAGGCTAATGCCTAGAGGTGTTAGTAAGAGATTGCCTACTAGTGTTAAGAGATGCATAAAGTAAACTACAGCAAATTATAGTAAACTACAGCAAATTGCAGTAAACTATAGCAAATTGCAGCAAACTACAGTAAATTACAGCAAACTATAGCAAATTGCAGCAAACTATAGTAGATTACAGCAGCAGGCAGCAATCTCTAGTAGATATTAGTTGTGTTACAAGTAGCTCTACGTATAAAAAGGGTTATAGGGGGGTAATGTCTCTAGAAAAAAAGCCTTAAAAAGGGCAGCAATAACTATACATAAGCTAGTGTTAGTGTAATAGAAAATTACTAAGCTTTAAGCAGCTAATAAGGCAGCTACATTTAGAAAGGCCTGCGCTTAACAGCTCTAAAGGAGGTTAGAGCGCGCAGTAACAGGAAGAAGGTAAAGAAGCAAGTGTAAGCTAAAGTAGGTAAGCAATCCTAAAGGCGCTGCAGACAGTGCAATTAGACTAGGCATAACATGCAAACGTGTAAGCAAGAAGTAGAAGTAGTATCTAAATAATATTCTAAGCTGTACTCTACTCTATAGTGCTAGAGCAGGTTGTTATAGGCTATAATAAAGTTTATTGTGGTGTAGTCTTAGCAAAAGTAAGCAACTCAGGTGTGTAAGCAACTGCTAATCCCCAACACTGTCAGATTAAAACACTGTTTCTAGGCTTCCTAAGATGAATGATGGGTTTAGATATAATGTATAGGATGATGATTGATTGTATTGATTATTTGATCCTTTTTCTGCTCTGCTCGTGTTGCTCGGCTTTTGTTTTTCCGGTCCGAGTCCCTCGCGCACTAGCCCTATGCGCGACCAGCTTGCAACATGCTGCAATTTGCTGCAACATGCTGCAATTTGTTGCAAAATGTTGCAAAATGCTGCAATTTGCTGCAACATGCTGCAATTTGCTGCAACATGCTGCAATTTGTTGCAAAATGCTGCAACATGCAGCAATTTGCAGCAACATACTGTTCGAGCTTATTGCTCGTACTATGTAGCAGCTTTCGTCCAGCGTTCCTCCTGTCTTGACAGTAGGTGCGCATATCTGACAAACACACTGATGCGGCTGATGCCAATCCCCGACACACCGATGCGGCTGATGCCAATCCCCGACACACCGATGCGGCTGATGCCAATCCCAACACACCAATGTGGCTGATGCCAATCCCCGACACACTGATGTGGCTAGAGAGGTGGAACAGACGCAACTAACTATAATTTAAACATGTTTTACACAACGCATGCTGGAGCAAACTGCATGCAAATTAGCATAAAGGTGCACTTACATTAGGTATACATTTTTTTTAAAAAAAGAATATAAGAAACACATAAGGTGACAGAGAAACAGCGTTACCGGGGTTTATCCGAAGAAATTCTGACTAACTAGCGCGTCCAAAAGAGGAGATTCTGCTCAACTTTTCGTTCTGCAAACCCGAATATAATAAGCAGAGCAAGCTCTGCTAATAATAGGAAAATATAAAAGTTAAAATAAGTTTTAAAATAAGCTATTAATTATCTAATTTAAATTAAAACTAATAGAGATAGTTAAAGTTAAAGTTTTACTACTAATGTATACTCTTTACTATTCTAAGCTTCGCTTTTCCAAGACATTTATAAATTAGCGTAGTATGTTATAATCTAGCTTTACTTTAGTCGCCTGCAGCTCTATTAGACTAGAATGCATAAAGAACAATCATCTAGATGCAGCAAGGCATAAAACAAAGACGTAGCATGTATATAAAAAGTAACAAATCTCTGTCTTAGAGGGCAGGGTTTGTCTAAGTCTTAAGATCTAAGTCTTTAAGAACTAAACTTGCCTAGGTTTTAAATCAACTACTTTAGATAAGAGTAGCTTAGCTTGTTTTTAGTATATTATACACCTTTATTTTTAATAAAATATTTCAATGTAGTTATTCGAAATTAAATTTTCTACAGCCCTGCCTAACAAGATGGAATTATCCTACTTAGCGCCTACTAGTACTTAACTTTTCTGCCACCACCTTCCCTAATGATATAGCAGAAGCACCTCCCATGATTTCGAAAACTGCGATATCCGTATTGAATACTTTCAGGAACCAATTCCGAAGCTCTACTGAGATAAGAGAATCTACTCCAAAATGATGGATAGGCTTCTCAGCGTCCATTTCTTCAACTGCCATTGAAAGTAATCGTGAGAGCTTTTCTACTATCGTATTCTTGATGATTTCTGCTTTTTCGATCAGCGAGTGGGCTGAGTTGAGCAGCTCTTTAACTTCGTTGCCTATTCCTACGCGCACTCCTTTTTCGACGCTAGGTTCGCTTGCTGTAAAAGATCTTAATGGCTTGAACAGTGACTGATTCATCCATGCGGGTTCCTCATCACCTCTAGCCTGAACGTTTGCAGGTAGCTCCAATCCCATCACTACTTGACTCTGGCAGCGATCGAGGGGTAGAGCAGGGTTACAGAAATAGTCAAGTATGGCAAACAGGTCCTCTTGAGACATGGAAAGAATTTGTTTCGCCCGGATATATTGGTCCATGATGTGGTCGTTTTCTGCAAGGAACCCTTCATTCGCCATGACGGCGAGGTCCAGGGCCACTGCCTTCTCGCCACAAGATATCCGATATTGCGCGAGAGCATCTTGGAACGAGTTGCCTGCATTATAGTTGGATTGTCCTGTCGACCCAATGATTCCACCTACAGATGATAAAAGGATGAAGAAGTCAAGGCCCCGAGGCAGCTGTTGATGCAAGTTCCAAGATCCAGCGATCTTAGGAGAGGTGGCCGCTGTCCATTGTTCTGCACTCATGTCCTCAAACAAGCTATCCTGCTAGAGATTAGTAGATTGACGAATCTTTCCGGTCGAATAACTTACACTTAAGACCATACTAGACTGTATACAGCCCTTAATTTGGCGCATCACGCTTGTGCCTTGCATAAGAACCGCCTTAAGAGCTCCAGCGTCCGTGATGTCACATGAAGGTATCTGGATGTCTATTCCAACTTCCCGCATTTCATGTACGAAAGCGCGAGCAGCACCATTGCGTGGGCCAAACCGAGACAAAAGCATCAAATGCTTTGCGCCTCTTTCAACCATCCACCTGGCAATACTTCGACCTTGCCCACCCAACCCACCAGCAATTAGGTAAACTGCTTCCGGGTCAAATCTCCATGTCAGTTTTGGCCGGACGAATGCCTAGTTATAGCGTTAGTGTCATCTCGCATATAGTGTATTTGGTGTTCGAACCGGTACTTCAACATGTGGGTTAACTTCTACCACCACTTTACCGACATGCTTGCCACTCTGAAGGTACCGTAGTCCTTGTTCAACTTCTGATATCTGAAATGTCTTCAGTGGGAACTGTGGGTGAAGTTCGTTCCTAGCCATCAGTTCGACCACCTTGCGAACCACATCTCCAATTACAGCTGGCCTGTCTTTGATCATTGCTGCCATATCTATGGCACTAAAAGAAACGTTCTTAGCGAATTGGAACATTGGAAGCTTTCCGTGGGAGTAGATATCCTTGTTCCCAATTTCCAAAAATCTTCCGTATGGTGCAATGCATTCCCACGATGCAACTAAACCTTCACCTGCGAGCGAATTAAGGACTACATCCACCCCCCGAGAATCAGTGAGACGCATAATTCCTTGAGCGAAGGATAAATCCCTGCTGTATAGTATATGGTCTGCAGGAATGCCGTAGAGATCAATTAAGAAGTTTTTCTTCTTCTCGGACCCAACCGTAACAAAAACCTCCGCCCCCACATGCTGGGCTATTTGGATTGCCGCTTGGCCAGTACCGCCAGCTCCTGAGTGAATAAGAACCTTCTCTCTCGGAGACAGGCGTGCAACGTTGACCAAAGCGTAATAGGCGGTGCTAAAGTTGGTTGAGATCCCAGCAGCCTCTGCGAATGTCATGCTGTCAGGTATGGATACGGCTAAGACATCCTTGGACTTTACGAAGGTCTTGAATGTATCCAGAACGCTTACGGCAACACGGTCTCCTACTCTTAGGCTGCTCTGCATTCCAACTTGCTCGACAACTCCAGCACACTCGGTCCCAAAGGTCTCATCTGGCACCCTCCCTAATGCGACTAGGCAATCCTTGAAATTTACGCCGATGGCTTTAACCCGTATGATCACCTCGTCAGGAGCAAGATATTGGAGATCGGTCTTATCTTGGAGAAAAACCAGGGTATCCAGCAGACCAGGCGTGCGGATTGTCAGTCGAAGATTTTCATGACTATATGGGATCATCATTGATGTCCCCTTCGATGTGAACTCTGATACCTTTGCGTTGAGCTCGTCGCACTCTTCAACACGCGGGATACAGAGTCCCCCTCTCACCTCAACATATTCAGATTCATGGTGGTCTGACAAAGTCTTCATTAGAGCTTGTCGCAGAACTGATCCGATAATATGTTCTCGTTTCTTGGTCATCTGAGTCGTACTTTCCAGCTGAAGTGATGTGAAAAGCATATCCCCATACTCCATACGGAGCGTTCTTGATAGACCAAGCACAGTACTGAAACCTGGACTTGTTGATAAAATACCACCCCCACCAGTAAGCCATAGGATGTTCCTGGTTGCACAAAGTGTGGAATGGAATGCTGGGTAGCTCACAGAATCTAGTCTTTGAAGAATTGGTTGATCAGACAAGTCCAGGACCACTACAAGTTCGCCAGAGAGGTCATCGTGGTGAGCCATATCTTCGAATGACCCCACGTTGACTTTCGGAGATCCTAACTCTTTCAGCTGTCTGATTACTAGCTTTATCAATTCCAAAGAAAATCCTTTGGATTCGCCGCCAGTAATTACGATACTAGAACAAATCTGACTAGGAGGTGTAATTGTCTTGGATGCCTTTGGAATCACTGTCGTGCCATCATAAGAGAGAAGGCTAACGTCTGGCCTATATACTTTGTTCCAGCACAATAGCTTAGTAGAAGCCTGCGAATCGTAGCCAGGTTGAGGGCCACCGTCAGGCACGGAAGTCGCCTCGATACCCTCAGCATGTATCTTGATCTCTTTGTTCCTCTTACTAATGGCAAATATCGAGGATTTGGTAGACCGAATCTTCCTTTCCTCGATCTGGGCATAGGCTTGAAGAATTTCGCTTTGTTGAGGCGCTAGATCTGCTGCAGATATCCAAAGTCTCCCAATTCGGGTAGGAACCATAGTTGTCCGGGTTGTGTTACTTCCCAGAACACTGCCCGGAAGCATCATTTGAAGAAAACAATCAAGAGCTGCAGGATGGATGATGCTCGCACCGTGTGAGGCTGCATCGCTTTTCTGGAAGATATCAATATAGCCAAGTGATTGGCCTCGACCATTGTGATATACTTTTTCTAATCTCTGAAAGTTTTCCCCGTAATGATAGCCGAGGCCATACAATCGGGAGTAGAATCGTGGTCGGCTGGCGCTTTTAGTACAAGAGAGTGCAGCAGAATCAAGTCTCTTTAGCGCATCTTGATGCCACCGTTTCGTTTGGTGTCCACTGTCCACCTCCGTCGTCCCACCTTCGTCCCGTATCGCTTGGATGGTGCCACGACAACATTCTTCCCATGTTCCGTCCTGACAGGCATAGATGCAGAATTCTGACCACGAAATACGCTTGTTGGAAGAATCTCGCAATGGTCGCAAATGAAGTTGGGTCTTTATCCCTTCATTTTCTGTGGGGATGACCAGAGGAGTATGAAATATGACATCTTTGAAGTCATAGGCTGTCACTTCTGCATCACCCGAGGTCTGAGCCATAGCCTCCAAGGCCATCACCAACAAGCCTGCACCAGGATATAAAACAACTCCATTAATCTCGTGATCTTTCACCCATGCCGGATCAGATACTTTTATAGAGTGATTCCAACAAGCATCTAGAGGGTTCCAATTGCTTGATGGAGTACCCAAAAGCGGATTGCGACCATGAGATCTTAGTCTGAGTTCCTTGCTCATTTTGGGTTCTAGCCAGTATTTCTGTGAATGGTTGAAAGGGTATTCTGGTAGGTCTGCAAGGAGCGCTGGTGTTGATTTGGGGCTGAGATAGAGCTGGTTAGCAAGTAAGAGATCAACCGGGTATCCAAGGCAGTGTAAATGACCGGCAAGTTCCAGGATTGTATTGATTGCGGGCTTTCCTCGGGCTAGCGCAGAACAATACCCGACTTTATTACCATTGCTTAACGTTGTTAGGATTTCCCGAATTGGGCCTCGCAATGCCCCATGGGGACCGATCTCGACTAGCTCGTCAACTGTTGCGACGGTTCGGTGGCTCCGGTCAAGCTTCTTCCGAGTGGATTTACCTACATGTGAACATACGATTTTGATTGCTTGCGAAAACTTCACTGTCGAGACCATGTTGTCAACCCAATACTGGCTCCGGAGAAGGTCTTCGGGCGAAATCAGTTGACCCGTTACAGAAGAAACCATCTTTACTTTCTCTTGAGTATACAAATCTCCAGTTTCAAGACCTTGGATGCACTCGAGGTATTGTGCGGCTACAGCGTTCATCTGCTGACTATGATACGCTACCGGGACGGACAATACACGGGAAAAAACGTTGTCGATGTCCAAGAGTTCCTTTAACGCTTCGACCAGGGGCGTACTGCCGGATATCGTAACATTCTTTGGACTGTTTGTGCATGCGATCGACAAATATCCATTGGAGAAACGATCTTGGATAGTATTGATATACGGTTTGACTGAAATCTCAGAAAGACCGACCGATATCATTGATCCGCATGCTTCGTGACCTGCTAGACTACCAGATACTACGCCACGGTAGTAAGCTAGCCTCCAAGCAGATTCCCGTGATATAGCCCCAGTAGCATATCTGTATCGATATATTAGCACTTAGGCCGACACATGCAGAAGTTGATTCTTACGCTGCAGCAATCTCACCAGATGAATGCCCTACAACACACGAAGGAAGGATGCTGAAGGAACGCATTAAGTCGACGAGGGCAACTTGAAGAATAGTGCAGACCGGCTGGGATATAGTAGCGTCGTTAATCTTTGAGCTGTTATCAACCTGCGCAATAAAATCACCTAGAAAAATTTCATCAGATATCTCGCGAACCAATTTGAGGAAGGACGTAGACTTACCAGCGAGACGATATCTGCTACCTAGCCTAACGAGGTATGAATCTGCATCATATAGGCTATCCCGGAAGATAGGAAAGGTCATCAGTTCTCTCCCCATGCCAGACCATTGCGCGCCTTGGCCTGTGAAAATAAAACCGAGCTTTGGTTCTGTGCTGCGGACCTTAACGGGGCGTGATTTCGAAGACTCAATCGAAGAGAGTTCGCTCAGAGAGTCCGCTACAACGAAAGACCTCCATTGCAGCAAGCTTCGTCGTGCAGTTAGCGAATATGCTAAAGCTTCAACGTATGATGCAGAGGATCCGGGGTTCAACTTGAGTGTATTGAAGTGAGTGGTAAAATTTTTTGCCGTTCTAGAAATCCCGTCTTCATCCCCAGCGGACCATACGAAGATTCTAGGTCGTTGAGGCTGGTTCCACTCCATGTTAGGAGTTAGCATGGACTTCGAAATGAGACACTCCTGGAGTTTCTCATCTCCATCCAAAGGTCGTTCGATAGTGCAATGATTACCTTCTAAGCCTTGTGAAAGCAGGTAATGGAAGGCATCGTCAAGCACAGCATGAGAATTGGTTCCACCAAAACCGAATGAGTTGACTGACGCCCGCCTAAGTCCTCGTGTAGGCCATGCGGTTAGTTTCTTCGGAAATCTTAGGTTCAACAGCTCATCGTCAATCTCTGGGTTTAGCTCCTCTAACTCCGCAATGGGAGGAATCACGCCTCGCTCAAGGATCAACACGGTCTTGATCAACCCTGCTATGCCGCTTGCTCCCTCCAAGTGACCGAAATTTGCTTTCAGCGCGCCGACATATAGGGGATTTTCTGGGGATTGCCCGCGTCGAAAAGCGGAACCTATCGCCATTGCTTCTAGTGGATCTCCAACGGCGGTTCCAGTGCCATGTGCTTCAATATATTGTGTCAGCGACATATCTAAATTTGCCTGCTGATACGTTTGCTCGATCAACCGTTTCTGCGCCTCCATGCTCGGCTGAGCTAGACCAGTTCGGCCGTCCTGGTTGGATGATGTAGATCGGATTAAGGCTCGAATGGTGTCGCCATCTCGTAAGGCATCAGATAACGGCTTGATAATAACAACGCCAAACCCTTCGCCTCGACCGTACCCAGAAGCACGACTGTCAAAGCTGCGACTCCGTCCCTCTGCCGATAGAAATCCGAGATTGGATAGACCCACAGTAACGTCCAGTGAGTATACCATATTACATCCCGCCACAATACCCATCGTGGATTGCCCTTGGCGGATAGACTGACATGCCATATCAAGCGCCACAAGGCTTGCGGAACACGCAGTATCGATAGTCATGCTCGGTCCATGGGTATTAAAGAACCAACTTATGCGATTTGACAGCATTGTTCCCGCCACCCCGGTAGCAGCGTATCTGGGGACATTTTCTGGATCTCTAGCCATCATTGAAGCCCAGTCTGCAGTAAAGTATCCGGTGAAGACTGATGTGGAGGTATTGCTTACTTTCGCCATTGGAATACCGGCGTTTTCTAGAGCTCTGTATGTTGTCTCCAGTAGCCCGCGCTGTTGTGGATCCATAGCTGCGGCTTCACCGGCAGTGATGGAGAAGAATGGGGCATCGAACTCTGCGAGATCATCGCGGAGGAAATGTCCTTGTTGGGGTCGAATCTGTTGGAGTCAGTACAATCTGATAACCACAGGATTCTTAAATTGCTCTCAAACTTACGGTTCCAATATTTGCGGGATCAGTGCTATGAAATGCCGCATGATTCAATCGATCTTCTGGAAATGGGGTTGCTGCGTTGCGACCTGCTAATATCATTTCCCAGAATTCCTCCGTCGATGTAGCTTCTTGGGGTAGTTTGAGCGAAAAACCGATGATAGCAATGGCATCATCGCGAGACTGAACGGTGTTATCATAGAGTGAGGGCTCGTAGCTCGTTGCGGATGAAGTTTCGATGTCGATGGAACAGCTTGATGAATCATCCATGGTGTACATTGGGGTTTCCATTCCGATAGGTATCCACAAATGCAATTACAAATCAGGGCTAGCTTCCTGAATCTTCTTGAAGAATTGACACCGTGAATGAAGTGGCCTGAGTTTAAATCGACTCTTCACACATTATTAGCCAGGACCGCTGAAGAGCCAGCCCCCCGCTTCATATCTTCCATCCATTGTCACAATTCCCAGTCTCATTCCTATCGATTTTCTTGAATATCAACTATCTCCGAGGGGTTATGGAGTTGCATGCATAGCATCTGACCACCGCATCTAGTTTAGGCAACTGCATGTATTGCATCTGACCCTTGCATCCAGTTTAGATAACCGCATGTTTCAGTCATTGGTATGCTCCGTAATGTATCACGAGCAACTATTTCCACGGTTACGCTTGCGGCTCATACGTTGATGGGCAAGATAACTGGGTACCCACTCTCTTGTGTTGCAAACGATTACTGAACGTTGTGTGGCAAGGCAAGCGATTACTGAACAGTAGTGTAACAAGGAAGGAGGATCCTCCAACACCGTGGAAGGAGTGGAGTACGGAGGACTTCATAGAGTTTGGTAGTGGCTACTACTAAAGAGGCAAGCGGTGGTACGAAGGAGGTAAGCTTTAGTTTCTTTAAGTACAGATAAGGAATAGCGGTACTGCCAAGTCGGAATTAACTGATGAAGGCCTGCACATATCCTCTTTGAAGCTCCGGGATGGTCTATAGAGCTCCTCCGTGGAGTATGGTAAGCGAATACCCTCTTCATGCATACAGCTTTCACTGAAAGTAGTGCGGCAGGCGATTATTGAATGGTGTGTTGCACCTTGATAGGCTTAGTGTAGCTTTCACTAGCCATTCGCTGGAGGTGCTTTCAAAGGTTAGGCACCAATGGCATCGCCAATCCAACCTAAGAATCATTTAATTCGGCCAAATTCCATCAGCGCGCAAATATTCAGAGTGTTCAGAATCGCCGCGGATACAGAGAGAGGAAAATAGTTAGGGTAATTGTCAGTTGGATGTACTGGAGGGCTTCGTACTATGTTGACCAAGGTTAGGGTACTAGATTTCTATTCGCATCTTTAAAGTTCATAGTTCTACCTGCATTTCAAGGGAGTTGATTCTCCCCAGGGCGTAGTAGACTGGAAATCCTTGGTGCCACATATGGACTTGTTTATATGAAGGCATTGTAGCTAAGACACTTGGGGTTAGCGTTAGTCTATTGGCGATAGGTGAGCAAGAGAGCACATGTGTTTGTACCAATTCCTGTACGAGGGTTAGAAACCTGGTCCGGGGGAAGATGGCACATTTGTATTGGAATTTTAGGGTGATGGGACGTGCGAGGTATACAAGGACTGTTTCCGTGTGCTCCGAGAATAAACTGGAAAAGGAACTGGAGAGGCGAGATGTGGATGGAGGCCAACACAGTGTTTCGGACACTTTACCATACTAAGACAATATTTGTGCAATGGAAAGGCTGGAAGAACCATGATGGAAGGGCAATGGGGTAGTTTGGACGGCGACTCGTCATACGCTCATTCCTAGTGACCAATCCTTTCAGTGAGTCTTTTAAATAGTTCTTATCTCCATGCACTCACGAATAGACTGTATAACCAGTCTTCATTCTCTCTCTGCCTTGCAGTATCTCCGAACTGCCCAAAATGAAATTCCTTTGTCTCCACGGCACTGGGACAAACTCACAAGTGCTTTCCCCCTCCAATATACCTTCTTAGTCCCTCAGACGAAAGGAAATCTAACCTCACACCCTAGGTATTTGAAATCCAAACCGCAGCCCTCCGTCACGAACTTAACGGCTCACACACCTATGAATTCGTTGAGGGGACCATACCTGCGGAAATAGCCCCGGGTCTTTCTTTCCCAACCCGCTTCTCACTACAACACCTAATACCCAGCCAGAAATCCTATCCATCTTCCCCGCTAACGGTGGCTATTATAACTACTTCTCGCCTTCGGACGCTTCTGTCTGCCTCCAGAGCCTGATGCTGTTTAAAGCATATGTAGAGAAGGAGGGCCCGTTTGATATCGTGTTAGGTTTCAGCGGCGGGTGTGCAGCCGTCATGACTCTCCTCCTCTACTACCACCAGAACAATCTGAAAATTCCCTTCCGCGGCGCTGTTTTCTTTTCCGCCGGCCTCCCTGCCTCTCCCTCTGCACTTACCTCCGGCTCCGTTGACCTCCTTACCCGGCTCCCTGAGGGCAAAGAGATCGCGATCCCGAGCGCACACTTCTGGGGCGCGGAGGAGATTTGGCCAGTGGGGGAGGGGGAAGTAGGGTGGAGCGAAAGCGTGAGTCGAATGTTTAAGGCAGAAGGGGTTGGGATGAGAGAAGAATGGGTGCATGGAGGTGGCCATGAGGTCCCTGGGGCACGGATGAGAGGAGATTTAGTGATGTGTGTTAAGGGAATTAGAAGAGTTATTTGGGGAGTGCTAGAGGGTATAGGTAGAGTATCTACTTCCACCAACTTTGAAGGGCTGATCGGCTATGAACCCTATTCACGAACCCCCCTCTGAGTAAAGGTTATAACAGGATCAAGTATTTTGTATAGTAAGATGCACGGGCTTTAAGCATCTTCGGACGTAGTCTAAATCTATAACGGTTAGGTAACATTGTAACCTCTGAGTATCCTAAGAGCTTCGCATTGGGTGTATAGACTCTTCGGCCTCTGTACCTCCCCCTCCGACTCTAAGGATTACTCTCTTCCTACCCCTTATCCTACATTCCCTCTCTGTTTCTCGTGCTTTCTGCTTGATACTTCTTACAAGATCTCTAGCAGTGGACACCTGTAGATAGCGCATATGAATGAAAACAGCATAGAATTTTCATTCTATCTATACAAGAGGAGTATCTCGTACCCGATGGCGGATCTTGGCGGGTGAGAAAGGTATCTAACGTAAGCCAGATAGTCTAAGGATAACAAGGGCTTCTGTCTACAACGCTGAAGTAAGCGTACGAAATTTCATTAGCCAACTCACAGTCTGCCCTAACGCACAGAAATTGCTGTACAGCAGCACTATAAATTGAAACTCTAGAGCTACATATAAACTAAATCTAGGTTTAAATATTTAGTGTAAAGAAAAGAAGAAGAGTAATGTATAGTAGAGTATATATAATAATACTCTTACTTCTTCTTCTTCTTCTTCTTACTAGCTGTGAAGCTATGTGGAGCACCAGAGGCATGAGGAACTGGATTGAATTCATTGCTCGAGGAGTCCTTTGTAGGAGTCTATATATATGCGAAATAAGTGGGTGAGTCTTGGCAACAGACCATGGTGAGATGCAGGGTTGCCACTTTTATAGTAATTACTATTTTAGAATAGTAATTACTATTTTTTTTTAAAAAGTCTATAACAGCTTAATTACATTAGCTAATATTCTAAAAACCTAAACTTAGATACTAGGTATACTAAAGTATAGATCTATAAGATTAGATTCTACTATATAAATTTGTATCCCTAGTAATAAAGAAAAAAAGAGAAAAAAAGCAGATATAGTAATAGTAATAGTAATTACTATTTTTCTCTTCTTTTTTTTCTCTCTTTTTTATTTATTATAATGTATTAAATATAATTTTTAGAATTTAAATTTATAGATTTATAGACTAGTTTACTTAGCATCTATATATTAATTTTTAGAATTATAGCTTATGTAATTAAGTAATAATAATGTTTTTAAAAACATAGTAATTATTTAAAATAGTAATTACTATAAAGTAGCAACCCTGGTGAGATGCATACAACTATGGTGCCGACGCATCCGACCATCGTGTGACGACACATCCGACACATCCGACTATCGTGTGACTATAGTGACGACGCATCCGACAACCGTGTCACTACTGCAAACACTAGCACTATATAGAACCTAGATAACTAGTATAGTGTTAGATTTTAGTAGAGGAGGCGGAAAACTAATTAATAGCTTTAAAGAATAGAGTACTTTATAATAAGAATTTCTAGGTAACATACACTACAGGCAGGTTGCTTACACACCTAAGTTACTTACTTTTACTAAGACTCTACTAAACTACTTTTTCTACACTAATACATTTCTAACAACACTACTTAGATATGCTAAAAGAATGCTAAATATAGCTTATATTTAAGCTTTTAAATAAAACATAACACTTTTAAAGCAGGGTTGCCACTTTATAGTAATTACTATTTTAAAAATAGTAATTACTATGTTTTTAAAAACGTTATTATTACTTAATTACATAAGCTATAATTCTAAAAATTAATATATAGATGCTAAGTAAACTAGTCTATAAATTTATAAATCTAAATTCTAAAAATTATATTTAATACATTTATAATAAATAAAAAAGAGAGAAAAAAAGGAGAGAAAAATAGTAATTACTATTACTAATACTATATCTGCTTTTTTTCTCTTTTTTTCTTTATTACTAGGGATACAAATTTATATAGTAGAATCTAATCTTATATATCTATACTTTAGTATACCTACTATCTAAGTTTAGGTTTTTAGAATATTAGCTAATTTAATTAAGCTGTTATAGACTTTTTAAAAAAATAGTAATTACTATTTTAGAATAGTAATTACTATAAAAGTGGCAACCCTGTTTTAAAGTAACATGCTATAGCTGTATATAAAGTCTTTTAAAAAATAATAAATAACTAACATACTAAATAACTTTTATAAGCTAATTTTATAGCTAACTTATAAAAGCTAGGTTTGTCTATTTTTTTTTACTATTACTTTTATTTTAGTAAATGCTTTCTATTTTAATATAAAAAAATGAGTTCTTTTTAACTTTTATTTATAAAATTAAGTGTTTAATTAAAGATAAGTAAGCTGTATAGTTGAATAGTAAATGTAAAAATAAAGTATTAGTAAAACTCTAATTACTATTTAAATACTATTAGTACTAAGATATATTTAGCTACACTATAGGTTACTAATTACTAGCACATTGCCTATATAATTATAAAAGTATTCTTATAAAACCTCTTCTTAACAGTTATAGCCTGTTGTACAAACAAAACATTAAAGAACTAGAGATAATAAAAATATATTATAAATAAATAGCTTTATTAAGTAGAAGTTAAAGCTCTTTTACATTTTTTATTCTTTATATACAGAAACTAAATAGTAACTTATGTATTTATATTAATTACTACAAACTTAACGCTATTACTTATAAAAATGTGTATTTAATACTATGTATAAATAAACTTCTGTTAAGACTTATAAAAGTAGTAATATTTTACTAAGTTTAATATTTACATAGCTTTTAATAAGATTAGAATAGACGTAAGCTTTAAAAAGTATACTACTTTTTAGACATAATATAAAACATATAAATATAAAGTTCTGCCTTTTAGATTATGTAATAGCCTAGTAACCTACTAGCACTATATAAATAACATATTAATTAACTACTTAAATAATTATTATATTACTTATTTAAATAATATTTTTATCTACTTTAAAAATAAAGCAACTTATATTCTTTATATTAAAAAGGTCTTAGAAAGGCTTTAGTAAATAAATTTTATATTACTTAAATAAAGTATCTTAGCTATATACTTTTAAATAAAGAACTAGAGGTTAACCTAGAGAAAGTAGAGGTGCTGCGTAACTAGTAGACACTTACTACTATAATAGGTGTAAAATATTTTCTAGGCTTTAACGTACCTAACGGGTTGGCCGGCCACACGAGTTGGCCAGCCACTTTTGCTAAGCCCCTACCACACTCTACCTATCTACATAATGCCTTAACGACAACACTAGATTAAATCTTCTAAAGAATATTAGATACAGCTTACTCTTTAGGCTTTTAAATAAGACTTAAAACTCTTTTTATAATATGGTATAGCTATTTATAATGTCTTTTACATAATACTAAGTAATTAACGCGCTAGACAGCCTTTAAAAGTAGAATGCTAGCCTAAATTAAGGAATTTAACTAAGCTTAAAAAAAGTTGTTGTTAAGTATATACTTAAGCTTATTATACATAGATTTTGTTTTAGGCTTACAGCTATAGCTAATATAGCTAATTCTTTGCGCGCAGAGTGTGATCTAGGCTAGGTTAGCTTAAACTAGCCTAGTATATAGGTTAAGCACTACTCTAAGTTTATAATAAAGTTTAATTATAAGTATAATTATAAAAGAGCGCTTTATAAAAATCTAGATGTTATCTAGAGCTAGTTTTACCTAGTAGCTAACATAAAAGCTAAGTACAGTATCTAAAATAAAGACATGTATAACTTTAATAAGTTAGGCTTTATAATAAGCTAAATATTAACTAGAGTAGTTATTACAGCTTTAAAGAGATAAAAATAGCTAAAGGTAATATAGTAAAGTAATTGTCGCGTAAGAGAGCACATAGTCCTAGTGTCGCACCTGTGTTTCGGAC